GTGTCAAATATGCTGCATATTTAGAATATTTGTGCATATTAAACAAAAAGAAAAACTGACTTAATCTCGTCAGCAAGCTTTGACGTCTAATCATGTAGTATATAGATAGATAGTACGGCCTACAACTTGGCTACCTACAATTGTAAAAATGTCAAGAGAGCAGTTAGACATACATACGTAGATTATGTGATGAGTGTATGATTGTAGCGCTACAGGAGACTTGGTTGTTTCGAGTTTGGAGTGGGCGAAGTACGAAGTAAAGGTCCACACCTCCAGTGAAGGCGTTTTTTATCCTCATCTGTTTTTGAAAGGCCACAAGCTTGGTGTGACTTCGCATTATATAGAAGCCGCGGGCTTCTGTGTGTGTGATGCGTGTACGCGGCTTGGTCGTAGTGTGATATTGTTTACGCCAACGCGAGTCGGTCGCGTTAAAAACTTAAAATTAAATATTGAGGTTTTTAATTGTTTATGACTATTGATTATATGCTCTATACTAGTGTTGTATTTTGTAATCGAAACAGGTCCGAATTTTATTAAGATATATATTTTTTTATGTTTTAAAACATTGGCGACTGCCTTCTCATGGAATAGTTCCCACATCGATGTCTTGATAGAATGGAATTATGCCATAATAGAGGACTCTATCAAAATTTTTCCTCTTAATGAAATTTTATCAAATATTTGGATCGAATTTATATGTGAATATAACCCTGTTGAAAGTCCAAGGGCACTTAAACACTGCCTGGAGCATTCCATGTACTTAGCTGGATTAGTATTTATATCAAGTGCTATAAGGGAATTTTCAAAGAAGAGGACGCAAGATAGAGAAACGCCTGCAGCTATGACAGCAGCAAAATTTCTATTAGCCATACAAAGAGAATGTAAAAGGCGGAACTTAAATGTACCAAAGGTCTGTAACGTTATTATCAATTTGTATTATTAGGAACGTCTTCGTTCTAGCCAGGAATTAATATAAGGCACTTAGACCTCTACATGTAGTGAAGAAGACCAGCATCTATTGTATAAGTTTGTAATCTCAGATTTTAATTTCCCATTTAGTGGATCCCCGAAAATGGTCACTGCGTTTACGACGGCAAAAACTATGCTAACACTACCCTTCAAAATACGGGATGAAATTACCGCTATCAATGAATAAAGAACAATTCAAAGTCAAAGTCAAAGTCAAATCGTTTATTTCAATTAGACCATCTAAAATGGCACTTTTGAACGTCAAAAAAAAAAATATAAAGATGATTCTAGTTGCCCCTTCCAAAAGGTAGTTTCGTGTGGAGAAGAATGGGCAAGAAACTCCACACTTACTCTTTTAAAATAGGTTTACAATATTTTGTTACATTTGTTAAATAATTATATGTGAAGACAATGTACTCTTAGAATAAACTACTATACTAAAAAAGTTAGTATACATGTTCCTCACATATTTACAAATATCGAAACCTTAGAATATTAACATTAAAGAGTAATAAAAATATTAAAAAACACAACAAAACAGTGTGTGAGATACAAAAAAAAATAATTACATTTGTAGCATTATATAAATTAAAAAAAAAAATAATAATAACAAAAATATGTTAAAGCAAAAAATCAGCAACCAATTTGATTTTGTCCAGGCTATAGAGCCAATCATAGGATTGTCCTATGGAGCAGGACCAGCATGTTTCCAAGCATTCTTATCTTGAATATAATCATCTAATTTGTAATATGCTTGTTTACAAAGTGTACTTTTAATAAAACATTTAAATTTTCGTTCATTTAGTTTTAAAATGTCACAAGGTATTTTATTGTAACATTTCACACAGTACCCCATAAATGAATTTTGAACTTTGGCTAATCTGAAAGATGGTTGAGCTATTTTATCTTTATTTCTAGTACTAAAATTATGTCTTTCATTTATTTTTCTAAAAAGATGTAGATTCTTTCTTACATACATAATATTTTCATAAATGAATTGGCAAGGTACTGTCATAATATTAATCTTTTTAAATAGTTCCCTGAGAGATTCGCAACGACGTAGATTATAAATGGCTCTGACCGCTCTCTTTTGCAAAATAAAAATGGATTCTATGTCAGCAGCCCGACCCCACAGTAAAATGCCGTAAGACATTATGCTGTGAAAGTAGCTAAAATAGACCAAACGCGCAGTTTCTACATTGGTTAAATATCTTATCTTTCTAACCGCATAAACGGCTGAGCTCAGCCGCCCCGCAAGAGATGTGATATGAGGTCCCCATTGTAACTTCTCGTTTAGCGTGATGCCTAGGAAAACCGTTTGATTAATAAATTCCAGTTTTCCTTCATTCAACATTATGTCACATTCCTTACTTTTAACATTTGGCAACGTAAATCTAATACATTTAGTTTTTTTATCATTCAGTGCCAAATTGTTTACCGTAAACCAATTTTGGACCCGAAGAATAGAGTTATTCACGTCGTCACGATTTTGTGACCGTCGATCTACTTTAAAAATCAATGATGTGTCATCTGCAAATAACACCATCTTCGGTTTATTCTGAACTAATTGGGGTAAATCATTTATGTATACTAAAAAGAGGAATGGACCCAATATTGAACCTTGAGGAACGCCCATTGTAATTTCAGACCCTAACGAGTTTATGCCGTTAACCTGAACTTTAACCTGTCTGTTTTTCAAGTAAGATCTTAGTAAGTCCAGAGCTTTGTTCTTAATCCCGTAGTGATTAAGTTTCAGCAGAAGAGTCTCATGGTTTACGCAATCGAACGCCTTCGAAAGGTCCAAAAGATTCCAATGGCATCTTGTGCTTCCTCCCAAGCGTTAAAAATGTTCTTGATTAGGGAGACACCGGCGTCAGTTGTACAACGCCCTTTGGTGAAACCGTACTGTTGTTCATGAAAGATGGAGTTTTTATTAAAGTGACATAACATTTGATTGAGCATTAACTTTTCAAACACCTTACTGAGAGCTGGCAGAATTGACACAGGTCTATAATTATTGGGTTCTTTACTATCACCGGATTTGAACAACGGAACTACTTTACTGTGTTTCATGAGATCCGGAAAGACTCCTTGGTCTATGCTGGTGTTAAATATGAAAGCTAAATAAGGCGCAATAGTTTCGATGATAGAACTACAGACTTTTACAGACAATCCCCAAAGATCTTCTGTAGATTTAATTTTAAGATCTTTAAAAGCTTTCATAACAGCCTGAGGGTTTGTATATTGAAATCGAAACTCCGTAGGGCATGCCCTTACATTCTTCGTAAGTAACGCAAACGAAAGTGCGGATGATGAACTTAAAGCTTCGGTAGTTTTAAAGGGAATATTGATAAAAAAGTTTTCAAATTCCTGAGCTATTTCTGCATTTGAGTTTATTGGGCCATGTGCAGTCTCTAAGTTAAATTCAGTATTACGCTGTTTTTTTCTACCAGTTTCATTATTTATTATTTGCCAGGTAGTTTTTATTTTGTCATCCGCTGATTTTATTTTATTACTAATATACAGTGCTTTAGCAATTTTGCACACACTTTTAAAAGTTTTTGAATATTTCGCAACATGCTGATGAAAGTTTGTATTTTTTACATGTTGCCTTAGGCCATACAGTTCAAAAAGTTTATCCCTGCTCTTACGAATACCTGGAGTCGCCCAATCACTAAATAAGAACTTGGTGTAAATACTTTTTGTCTTTTGTGGAACAATATCATTAAATTGCGATTTTAACAAGGTAAAAAACTCCGCATAGAACTCATTAGAGTCCCAAATATTATTAAAGTTTTGAACACACAATTTACTGGTCAAGGTATTATTTAATTTCTCTAAATTTTTACATGTAATTGGCCTATACCTTATTTGAATTTTTTGTACAGGTATGTAGGCACAAAACGTTATTGTTTGTCCACTGTGATCAGAAGGCAATTTGTTAACAATTTCTTTATGTAAGTAATCACAATTACAAAAAATATTATCTATACAAGTGGCAGAAGAAGCTGTCACTCTAGTTGGTTCCATAAAAACATTAGACGGATTAAATGATTTAAAAAGACTTATTAATCTGATACTATTTGAGTTTGTTTCTAATAAGTTAATATTAAAATCACCACTTATGATGATTGATTATCTACTAGTACTAAGTTTTTTTAACACATCTTCCATTACAGAATCAAATACAGATAGATTCTGATAGCCCGGAGGTCTGTAAACACATACTACAACATGCCTATCGAGCTCGACACAGGACAACTCTATAGAATGTTCAACTGACAATCTGATAATGTCTTTCCTTTCTTTAGATTTAACAGAATTTTTGATTAATATTAATGATCCACCGTGTATCATACACTTCCGGCTGAAATAGCTAACTACACAATAATTTTCATAATTAATAGACATTATCTGATGATCATTTAACCAATGTTCAGTTAAACAAATAATATCGAACTTGGTTTTTTCTAAAAACATTTCTATTTCCAGTAATTTGGAAGAGCAACCTTGAATATTCTGATGAAATAATCTTAAAGTATGTTGCTTTCCTTTTGGTTTATTAAAACATGTTAAATTGCCAGAAGATACCTTTTTATTATCCACAAATAATAATTGATTATTTAAACGGTTAACTTCTGTTGTCTTACAGCCTAGTTTAAAGTACTATCCGGAGTGACCTCTACAGTTGTAGAATAACCTAAGTTATGTGTTCCAGCAGGAAGAGTATACTCTATCTGACTGGTATTGGCCTCCAAGTATGTTGGTATTATAGGTGGACCCTCCTTCGTACAACATAAAGATATATTATCAATCACTGTGTTGTTAGTGTAACTAGGCAACACAGTCTCGTCACTAATCCTAGAATTTGTTATATTAGCTATAACCTTGTTAATATTGTATGCTATTAACATAGCAATCAACCGTCTACATTCAAAAGACAGAGATAAAGTTCTCTGAGTTAACTTAGAACCACTAATAAACTTATTAGTGTCAAAATATAATAATTTGTCACTATGACGATATATTATATGACGATAATTGGCCTAGTTCGGCAAACTAACACGTTTACTTGGAAGTATGGGGATATCGCTCAATTGCTTGTGAAAGCCACAGGCGAGACATTAAGAGGTATGAAGGACGCCTACCGAGCACCTTGGAAATTGTGGACTGATACTATTGGTGCTGACGATGGGAAACGACATCTCTTGCAATCTATTTTTTTTTGCGGGAGGAAGGTAGACTTATTTGCTATTTATTGATGCCGTACTTATTGAAATTAGAAAGTTTTTAAATTACTGTGTTGTAGGAATTATTAATTTACACATTAATATTTTTTTTCAATTCCAGGTGGCATCATTTTCCCGACCTATACCACGAGCGGACATTGACAGAGCTACCTGTGCTTTGGGCGTGTCTTCCACCGACATCGCACTGTTTGCTGCCACAGAATCTTAGCGAGCTTTCTTTGAATACGCTCAAAGTGAAACACCTGATTCGATATTAGTCTCATTAGAGCAGCCTGTGTGGACTTTCTCTATACTTTTGCTGAAGGCAATGGCAAGAATTATAAGAAATTGCAAACTGGAGGTATGACGAAAAACGTTTACGTTGTCGTAATGAATTCTGAAATGCAAACAGAAAATTCGGTATTTAAAAAAAATTACAATTATTTATTAAAAAATAACTGTTATTAATTAAATAGCACGAGATTATCTATAAGAAATAAGAGTAGCTGTCGTGAGACCATTCGAGTCTTAATATTTAGAGACAAAAATTCATAAAGCAAACGTTTAGTTAATTTGGCTATTAAGTTCATAAAATAACGATTCCAGGAATGGTTTGTCTATCTATTCCCGTTGGTGCTACACCACGTCGTATAGCCTCCGTCGTCGATGGAGCATGCAGTCGCCAAGTTGCCTTGGCAGGGTCCTGGGCAGCCCAAGCCAGATTTGGAGCCCTAACCAGATCGGTGCCTTCGCCCTTCGCAAGACTGACACTTAATGCACTATCCAGACGATACGCTGTTTCATATGCGGAAATAAATGCACCAACTGATGCTCAACGAAGAAAAACATTGTGGGGACAGGAGGTTGATGGCGTTGTGTACCTATTGGAGGCCACCGCAGGCTAACATAAGTAAATTACATTGAATTGTATGCGATACTTCGATAAAAAGCGGTACAAGTAAGTAAAAATTGCTCTTCTAATTCTACACAGGCGTAATTACTCAAAATAATTTTTGAATTTTCCTTTCGCCTATACGCAAATACTTATTAGGCCACCACGCCAATGTCCATAATCTGTATCTGTTTTTGGCTTATGTCTTTTCCTGTGCAGGTGATATGCAGCTCTTTTAAATAGTTTACTAGCCGTGGCATAATTTTTTTAAAATACATTGTGGTGCAACATACAGGCACCCACAGTCGTGTTAGACCTCAGTAGATACAGACACGTTTCTTTAAGTTCAATAAGATTTCCTCCTTAATTGAATTTACTGGGTTCAGGTTTGTCCCTATCCGTAATTCAGTACGCAGATACAGTCCGACTTACTGTTATGGCTGATGCGAGACTTACGCCCTTACAAACAGTACCTTCCAAAAGATGGCCGACAGCTATCAAGCGATTCAACAGCCAACCGGGTTAACCAAAAAATCGCAAGGATTACTGACACTCATGATACTCACTAAAAGAGTGGTAAAAAATTATTACGTTCTACACACTCGTCAAAATTACTGTCGTAATGTCCGGTTACTACAACGTCCGTAATTGTGTTTCAACGGTGAAACAATCGTAAAACGCTTTTGCCCTTTAGTCTATTTACATAAATTACTGTACCTAATGTACATTTAGTTATTTTTAACTATTCACACTAAATACTTAACAACAATATTTGTCGAATAGGAAAATGAAACAGCTTTCATTCGATATATATACATATATCTATATGTTAACGTTCTTAGTATCCTAGTAATAATAGCCTTATATATAGAAGATAATAGCATTTCCTTCATTAAGATTTTGCATTCACGACTTTGCTCCCCGAGGCAAGCGATATGTCTAGTCGCTACAACCCTTTCTACTTTAAAAAATCAAAAAACACTATAATAATAACAAAAATATGACACTGACATGATCTAAACAAAAGCCTATGTGTAGTGTGTCCCCCTCACTACACTCTCGTGAACATTCCGACCCAACAGCACTCAACTGCAAATATAATAAGTGGATGAACAAGTTGTATTTGTTTATGAAATGTTTAAATTATAATAAATTTTAGAATAATAAAGGCCTAGTGACGCACTCATTAAATAATTAAACCGACTTCAAACACATTTACCTGTTTTAGGTGTTCAGTAATGATGAATGATGAAATTTTTGGACAAACAATTACGAAATTTTGTGTGTAGCTAGGTAGATGGATCATCATACTCATTAATTGTCACCAATAATATATATAATAACTGATAACCTCCTTTTTTCGGAGGCACATAGGGTTGGATCTTAAAATCGGTCGCCCGAATCTGATGATACTGATTATGCAGGAGTCTCGGAGCACTTTGATGAGAACACCTCCAAGTAATGTTTGCTGCCGGAAATGCGTCTAAGTATTTAAAAAAAAAATTAAGTTTTGTGAAATTTATTGAAATTTGTAAACAATCCACCATTTTCTGCTTTTCTATTGGTTATAAGAGATGTGACATTCTCGGTAAATTAATCGATTGTTTTTTAGCATGAAAAATCGATGAACATTTTTGATACAACTAGTAAAACTAAACAACTACAGGTGTTACAAAATAATCATCCTCCTTTGTTCTACTCTTGCGCTCACTGACAAACTTAACATTACTTACTGTACTTAGCATTTTTGTTTAAAAAAATAACTAAAGCAATACATTAAACTACAATCCCACCCATGACGAATATGCTGCTATGATTTTTGGTAGATGGACTTTGATGCAATTAATATCGTATGACGGCGGCATGATATATGTTTTACGTTTTATATAGTTTTTCTCATGTGACATGTGTTATTAATTTTGAATTTCATAATCTGCTTAATCATAGCGCTCGATAGAACCTTAAAAATATATTTATTTCAACTAAAATATTCATCTGTCCGTTTTCATCGCAGCGTAAACAATTTTACAGATAGAAACGAATAGGAATCTGCAATAATAATAATGAAAAACGGATAAATAGATAAAGATACAAAATTAAAAAGCCTGTAGCAGTTTAATAATCTGGGGCCGCCGGTACTAACTACCAGGCGCCAACTCAAAAACATAATAAGCGCCTGTGCACTGGAACCTAGGTCGTGGCTAAGAATCTTTTCTTGAAAGGGAAAAAAATCAAAGTTGGAGGAAAGACTTTTATATTAGCCGCTCCAGCTTTTGTGCTTGTCTGAGGGAGGTGAGATGAGCTAATGTGTCCACAGAAAAATTATTTATTGCAAGTAGATTGATTTAGTCTAATAAGAGATATAAATATAAGTTGCTAAAGCCTAGATTAAATAGGTAAACGATTGTATCGCGATACTATATGCGTTCACGGTTGAAAGTACCAATAAGATTTCAATTTTAAACTAATCTTTCGACTAAATTTTGTGTAGAATTTAAAATATGAACAGATCAATAATCTTATGATAGTACAATTACATATTATTATAATTTTGTTTAATTTAAGTTACACAACTGCGATCATCAAAATCATTAATATTCTGTTTAAATCACACGTGATTTCTATAGTTTTATTGACTTTAAATTCATACGCAGGTAGTAATGAATAATAATTAGTGGTACGAAGTGTCTGTCTATTGAATAATGTTTTATGTTTCTTTAGAAATTTTAACCAAGTCGTCAGTCTGCAGTGGGTGTCTAAAATGAAAATGGCGACCAAATTCAGCCGAAGTTTTTTGAAATAAGATTGACATTTTGATATCTACGATTTTAGCTCGAAGCAATATTTAAGTTTTTAATGGGTCCCCGTAACAAGTCGGAAAATGCATATATTATCTATATAATGGTGTTCCTTTTACTCGATTAGGTACAATACTTTTTAAATCATTGAAATCGGTAAATTGGTTGCGAAGATATTACACATTTTGCACAAGCCGACCGCGGCGCGGCCGAAATGCTCATGTGACGTCACGATTTCCCTACCGCCCTTGCGCTCGCTCTCCGCCATTCATTTTAGAGGTGTTATGGATATGATATTTCGGATCTGGATACGGATATGGATATAGGAATAAAATTATATCGGTTTCGGATACGGTTACGGATATGTAATTATTTCGGATTATCCGTTAGTTTCGGATAGTTTCGGTTACGGTTATTAGATTGAAGTAAAATATAAACACAAATACATAGTATGTAATAATTTAGTTTTATACGTATATATAGGTTTTATCTAGTCTAGGTTATCAGTTGGTATTATAATCGGTCATATAGGTAAGTAATTATTATTAGTAATTATAAAAGTGCAATAAATTTCATAGCTTTACAAAAACATTGCACATATTAACTTATAACCTATGTACAACATATTAAATGTTTTCTTTTTAATTATTTTTGTGAGTAATGAAACCACTAACAAAAACCTGTCGAAACATGTAGTTTTATCTAGATTTAAGACTCCACCCTTATCCGAAATATATCCGAAACTTGTGAAACGGATACGGTTACGGATATAGATTTATTTCGGATATCCGATTGTTTCGGTTACGGTTACGGAGCTCCATAACATCCCTGATTCATTTATTAAAGTTTACTCGATCTGCGCGGGTCGTGTTGTGGTTTTGTGGTTTTTATGTGATAATATGCCGCATTATAAGAACTGTATAGTACCGAAATGTACTAATACTTCAACTAGTACACCTGAAAAACTGTTTTTTTTAATGTGCCAAGGGACCTGAAAGTGCGCAAAAAATGGTGTACTGTCATGAACAGGGGTGACAGTACACCTTACATTACTCATGTGGTAAACAGTATCTTAGTAAAACTTGTTTGTACGAATGTTAAAGAAAAATACAGGGTCGTACTAGGTATATTTCAATGAATAAATAAATGATAAAAAGTGTAAGTAGTGAAGTTTCTAATAACCCTTCCTCAGTAGTCTGGTAAAACCCAGGGTCGTACTGAGGCTCAACTAAATGAAATGTGCCGTTCCCAGGAATATTTCCCAATGCCGGAACAAAGGGGAACATTCCCGCTTTGGGGAATATGTATCTGTAGGTAATAAAACTGTAGCCAAAGTGAATTCTATACATTGAATATTTTTTTGAATAATCGAGTTATGAGAGCTCCATACACGCAATAGAAACCAAAAATATTGTTTTTGAATTTCTTGTCTGTCTGTTGAACGCTTTTCACGCGAAAACCGCTAGACGTATTTTACGCCTTTTTTTTTAAAACTCTTTGCGAATATTTTTACAATACGTTTAGTTTAGCCACCACTGCTCTTACTTCTGGTTCCAGACGTTTTCCTCTTTCCATAGCGACTGTCTCCTGTATGGATGCCCCGAAAATCTGTTCAACTAAAACACCATCAGTCTTGCAGTTTGCAGTTTCGTGAATTTTTGACGCCGTTACTCTGCAGTATCTTAGTTCCCTTCACAATGGTGAATCAGCTTGCGATAATGTTGCTTCTTCTGCTTTGCTACAGTCTTCTATAGTCAATAAAATGAGCTGCATCGTTTATATCTATACCCTCTTTTCTAAACTCACTTATTAATACATGTAGTGACATTTTTTTAACGCGCTTTGTGGTACGCAATAGGCTGCCAGCTGGTTATGATATATATATAGAATTTTCTTGTTCTGTTTTTTTTACAGCTTCTACAAATTGACCTTTGACATAACTGTCATCTTGATTTTTGGGTGTGCCTGATCCCATATCTCTATTCTTTATAAATTTTAAAGTGGTGCCCACCGTAGCTAATTTAGGCTTAGTTCAATAACATTTTTTTCTGTTGGGGATGGTTCCTCGCTTCGTTTGTAAAGCCACATAAGAAAATGCTACACCGTGCTTACAACCTCCCAGTTGAGCAGCACAATCATGACACTCAATGTTTAGTATTATTTCTTGTGTTTCATCACAAGTAAATGTGCAGCAATAAGCTTTACCCTTTATTTTATGTTCTGGTGTAATTTTTGCTTTGACTGTGCATATATCTCCTGTTTTTTGTCCTTGAACAAATCCCACAGCTTCATCACCATATTATGATTCACGCCCTGACCTGAAAAAAATATCGTAAGCGCTTAGAATACGTATACATTAGCGATATCATTAGGATTACTTGTTCAAACAATCTAAGGTAAACGAATAAAGTATACCTACTGATTACTTTGTTTCTTATATTCATTTGCACTGACAAAACTAGACGACAACAATACGCAAGTCAATGAGATTGAAATGAAATGAATCATTTCGTCGGGCACTTTTCTTACTTACCTACCAGCAATGTGCTGTCAGTTGCCTACTAACAATACTAGGAACTAACTAACAATAAGATTTCCGACTGGCAATGCACCCAGAAACATTGAGAAGAATATTCCCGGTAACATGTTCATATCCATAAACCTTACTGGGAATTTTCCCGGGCCTGAATACGACCCTGTATTCCTGACCTACTTATTATCCTGCTGT